TTTTTTTTTAAAAAAAACAACAACCGCAAATGGAAATAATCTATTATTTTCATTATTTTATTCAGAATCACAGAACTGAATTTTCAGAATCCAGGATAGGCAGCCTATTCCTGTTTCCCTTAGATTCAGACTAGAATCACTTAATCAAAAATGGAATTAGGTGCCAGGCTTGGGCCCAATGGCTAATGACCGCCTGGGTAATTGCCCTCCATCTTGGGGACCTCCTGAGACAATATACAGCTTTTCCAGGGGTATTGAAACGATATCCCTAATCCTATCCAACCACTATATACATAACTATAGTATGTTATATTTGTGCTGATAAATAAATAAAGGGAGACTAGTATAGATCTATTTCAAGCTATTTAGCTCTCATCAGCTAGCCATACCCTTATTGGGAATCGAACCTGTGCTTTATTGCATCTTAGGCAGATCTGTTAACCACCAAGCCACAGAGTTTGACTCCTTAGTGCTCCTTTGGGCATACCAGGGGTTGTAACTCTAAATAGATACCTTTCACCCTGGCTTGGCTGATAAGGAGTCGAACTCTGTGGCTTCTATTCATTTCTTTCATTCACATACATGTTTATATTTATACCTGCTATCTTGTACATGTTTAATAAACTAATAAATACAAAAGTGGCAGGACTGTAAACCTCTCTTTATTTTTCTTTATTTTTTCTTTTCTTCTTTCTTTCCTTCCTTTTTTCTTTTTCCTTCCTTCCTTCCTTCCTTCCTTCCGTCTGTCCTACTTTCCTTCCTGCCTTCCTGCCCATCTTGTATCCAATGATTCTGGCAGCTTATAACATAAGACTTTTGAGTTGACATCTGATATTATAGTGTGGCTGACTTACTTATTTTAAACCTTTTAAGATTTTCAAATCTTCACATTTGTTGATGGTCCCATCCAGGGGTGAAATCCAGCAGGTTGTGATAGGTTCTAGAGAACTGGTAGTGGAAATTTTGAGTAGTTCGGAGAACTGGCAAATGCCACCTCTGGCTGGCCCCAGAGTGGGGTGGGAATGGACATTTTGCAGTATCCTTCCCCTGCCATGCCCTCTGAGCCATGCCCATAGAACCAATAGTAAACAAATTTGAATTTCACCACTGGTCCCATCTCCTGTGGAGATATACCTGGTGGGACCCAGAAGAAGGACCTTCTCTATGGAGGCTCGCTCTCTGGAATATCATTCTCCCAGAGATTAGAATGCCCCCTACGCTAACTCTTTTCTTGGAGGGGCTGATAACTTGGTTCTGCCAGTGGGCCTGGGGAACCCAGAGTGGGATGGAGCCCATTAAATGGCTCATGTCATCTATTGTTGCCGGGGTGGGGGTGATTTTATTTTATTAATTTATTTGATTCTTTTTATTAGTTTTATTGTTTTAAATGAAGTTTTATATTCTAAGTTGCCATATGCAAATAGGTGGCATTATAAATTCAATAAATAAAATAAATAATAAATAAAATAAATGCACTTCCTGGTTTAGATAACTATATGTGTGTGTGTGTGTTTGTGTGTGTGTGTATACATAACACAACACACACAAACAAACATATATGGATACATTGTTTGAATATTATTGAAAAAAAGGAGATCTTTGCTGCTTCAGGAGAGCATTCTGGGATTGCCAGTTCTAAGATATTTGAGAAGCCACTAAGAGTTTATCTGCTGATAATATGGTGCTTTGAAGATGCTCCAGAGCACTTTTCGGCTTCTAATTTGAAATGAGGCCCAGATTTCTCATCTAATTTAGTTAAACTTCAATTATTTCATCAAGTGTTGCCTGAAACATTTTTAGCAACATGACACAGCATTTGGGGAGGAAAATGCAGAAACCAGAATAGGAAAACTTTTCACAACTAATATTTTATTCATAAACTGACACCTAAACAAAAAGGATGCAAATGAACTTATGTCTAGATAAGTGTAAGTGAATCATAATATTAGATGATTCTGTTTTCCCATAGATATCTGAAATATTAAACAGCCATACATTTTATGGTTTTCTGTAGGTTTGTCTTCTTAGCTGTTTTTTGTTGTTTAGAGCAGGCCTCAGCACAATGATGAAACATTTCGGAAAAAAGATACAAACCAGTAACCCAACACTGGAAGATATAATGGAGAAGATCTCCACAGCAACCATATATTTCCCCTTGGTGCTCAGGTATGTTGGAACAAAGGACAACCACACACTACAAAAGACCAACATGCTAAAGGTGATAAACTTGGCTTCATTGAAAACATCAGGCAAATTCCTGGCTAGGAAAGCCATGGTAAAGCTGATAATAGCAAGGAGACCCATATAGCCCAAGATACAGTAGAACATGAAGGCAGATCCTTCGTTGCACTCTAGAATGATTTCTTCTACCACTGAATTCATATCAGCATCTGGGAATGGAGGAGAGGTTGTCACCCATGTAATGGAAATAATACCTTGAATACAACAACACCCCAAAATTATGAAAATGACAAGTCTTTTCCCAACCCATCTGCTCATCATGGACCCAGGCTTAGTGGCCGTGAAAGCCAGAACCACGATGATGGTTTTGGCCAATACACAAGAAATAGCCATGGAAAAGATCATCCCAAAGGCTGTTTGACGAAGGAGACATGTCACCTTACCAGGTCTTCCTAGGAATAACAAAGAACAAAGAAAAGACAACATAAGACCAACAAGGAGAGTGTAGGTGAGATTCCGGTTGTTCGCTTTGACAATGGGAGTGTCCTGATGCTTAATAAAAATCCAGAGGATTGCAGCTGTGACCAAAGCAAAGAAAAGAGCAGAACTGGCCAATATAGTTCCCAAAGATTCTTCATACTTCAAAAATGTTATAACTTTCGGGAGACAGAAATCCTGCTTCTTATTAGGATACTGGTCTTCTGGACATTGAAAGCATTCATTCATGTCTAGAAAATAAAATAGCAACTTACAGATTTACTGAAAGAATCAAAACTGAACATGACAGCATTAAGAAAAGAGAGCTGTTGTTTAACATGTGAATATCAAAAACACTGATATACTTCCACTTGTTATATTTGGGAAACCCTTTGTCCCCAAATACATTACTTGGCATCATATTGGAATTCAGTCAATGAATTGAATGCATATCTCATTGGGTCAACTTTTTGTGTGCCATTAAATGTGAGCAGGCAAACTTCATTTGTGATCTTCAACAAGATACAGTTTGGCTAACAATATTTTAATCTCTGTTGATTCCAGAGATGGACAGTTTTGCCATTTGTTTCATGCATTGCTTGGTGCACTTCCTTATATTTTTCATATATAGAAGTTCAAATCTAATTTCTTAATTGACAAATAACAAAGCCCTCTGCTATGGCAGTTTTAGGAGAAAGAGGGCCTTAACTCTATCATCCTCCCCACCTATATGAAAGGGGACAAGTTTGATACTGAACACTATTACCCTGCCTCTCTCTTCTCTATTATGAGAAGCCAAGTATTTATTTATATACACTTGCTTAGTTGCAAGAATATCTTTTTCGAAGTGTAAGACACACCTTTTCCCTTCCCTGCATCTTATACACCGAATGTAGCTCCACCTACCAAAGGCCAAAAACACAAGGCATAGAGGCAGCAATGGTCTGGCAATCCCTGCATCCTGGAACAGCTGATTGGAGGGTATTCCAGCAGTCCGATCCACCCACCAATCAGCTGTGTTGAATCACCTGGCTGATCAGAGTTTGCAGCAGTAACTGGTTCAGCAGGAGTTAAAATAATAATAATAATTTACAATACATTGCCAAAAATAGGTTTTCCAAGGTAGCAGTAAATGCAAGCAAAACACAAGCAGTTTCACTTTCAGTTTTCAGGTAAGCCAGTCACTTTCTTGTCCCCTTGTTGCTCACACAGCAAATTTCAAAGTCCAAATAGCCCTAATTGGCTGATTTAGCTGCTATGCCTATTCATTGCCTGACCTTTTTAACCATGTGTCAGCTGAATACCATGGATGCTGGTAGGCAGAGGCAGATTTTTCTTCTTATTTTCCTCCCCAAAAGCTAAGGTGTGCCTTATACTCCAAAGCATCTTATACTCTGAAAAATATGGTAGGGTTCGGAGCACACAGAGTTCAGACATAGTAATTCAACATGAGCTGAATTTTTATTTAGATATAAAACAAAACAAAAGCAATGAAACAAAAGCAAGAACTTACTTTCTTGGTTGGAAATCTTCCCATATGGACATTTCAGACAATCATAGCAGCAAAATGGCTTCCCTTCTATCTTGCTTCTAGCATAACCTGATTGGCACTTGCTATTACACAGAGATTGTGGTTGGACCTTCTCATGAGAGAAAGAAGAAAACGATTTGACAAATTAGTACTCAGTATTATCTGATGTGGCTTTTCTACTGTCATGTATGAATTAATATAATAGCAGAGTTGGAAGGGATCTTGGAGGTCTTCTAGTCCAACCCCCTGCCTAGGCAGGAAACCTTATACCGTTTCAGACAAATGGCTCTCCAACATCTTCTTAAAGACTTCCAGTGTTGGGGCATTCACAACTTCTGGAGGCAAGCTGTTCACTGAGTTCTAACTCTCAGTTCTAAGTTGCTTCTCTCCTTGATTAGTTTGTTCTACACCCAGGTGCCTTGAAGACTCCCTCTTCTTTGTGGCAAACCCTGAGATATTGGAACTCTGCTATCATGTCTCCCCTAGTCCTTCTTTTCATTAAACTAGACATACTCAGTTCCTGCAACCGTTCTTCATATGTTTTAGTCTCCAGTCCCCTAATCATCTTTGTTTCTCTTCTCTGCACTCTTTCCAGAGTCTCCACATCTTTTCTACATCGTGGTGACCAAAACTGAATGCAGTATTCCAAGTGTGGCCCTTACCAAGGCATTATAAAGTGGCATTATAAATTGTCTAGTAGTTCTTGCTAAATGAGAAAATATACTTCTTTAAGCTAATATGCCAGGTTACATTAAAATGTACCCATCCCTCCATTGACATGTTATCTTAGACTTAGAAGATACCCAAGGTACCACCAGGTGAATAGACTTGTAAAGGTTGCTTGAATCTAATTGCTGTGTGATATTTTGGATTTAAGAGAACTCCAAGAATGGACGAAAGATATTTCACTATAAGTCAAAACTTGGCTCACTTGGTTAAACCTCCTCGGCCATATAATATCTTCCTCATCAATGGTGAACAATGTTTCTTGGGAATCCATGGAGTCTATCCCTCCAACCCTAACTTTGAGAAAAGATAGATTTGGGAATGTGATCCAATTCATAATATCAAATCCAGTCTCCAATTCTCCATTTTGGTTGAAAGAAATTTTTTGTCCAGCACTATTATTGAACGAGACTTCTCTCATAAATTGATTGAGCTACAGTAGAAAACAACCCAAGAAAAGGTTAGACACATGACAGATACATAGATGATAAATAAATTAGATAACTAGAGAACTAAATGATAGCGAATAGAATAGAATAGAAATGAAGAGAAGATAATCCCAAGATGATAGGATTTATTTCACCTTTCAAAAATAAAAAAAAATTCAAAGTTTATGAGAGGATGGTAGTCAACCCAATAACTGCAGTAGTAAATAGTCCATCTTGTAAACCATCATTATAATAGAAAAATAAACAGCACAAAAGATGTAAATACCAGGAATAATAAAACAGAAAATAAATAAAAATCATTTTTGTAGATTTGGACTTTTTTTTTTCACCACTGAACTGTATCTTACTGATCCCAATGCTCAAATCTGTCAAGATCATTTTGAATTTTGAGTTTATCTTTCAAAGAGTTTAAATTCCCACCCAAATTAGTGTCATCTGAAAATTTGATGAGCACCCCTTTAAACCCTTCCTCTTGGTCACTTATGAAGATGTCGGAGAGCACTGGGCTCAGAACAGAACCTTGGGATGCCCCATTGTGTGCTTCCCGTGGCACGACAAAACCGCGCTAGTCAAAATCGTGGTGATAAAATCACGGCGCTAAAGCCATGACGTCATCACCGCGTGTCATCACTGCTGCGACAACAGCACGGAAACAGAAGGGCGCTTTAAAACGGCACCACGGCAGAAAGCCGACTTCAATTAAGGTAAGGGTTAGGATTAGGTTTAGGGGTTTGTTTTAGGGTTAGGTTTAGGGTTAGGTTTAGGGTTAGGTTTAGGGTTAGGTTTAGGGTTAGGTTTAGGGTCAGGTTTAGGGTTAGGTTTAGCGTTAGGTTTAGGTTTAGCGTTAGGTTTAGCGTTAGGTTTAGCGTTAGGTTTAGGGTACTGAGTGCTTGGGAATGCGCGAATTTGCCCTCCGCGATTATGTCATCGAGGTAGGGTCGCATTTTTCCTTAGCGCTTAGAACGGCGCGAATTAGTCTTCGCGCTTATAAGGGCTTCGCGGATTTGTGGTGGAACCCTTCCTTCCATGTAGATGTAGTTCCATTGAGGACAGTTCATCAATCAACTGCAAATTGTAGTGGTATCTCACATTGTTCTGTCTTACCAAGAAGTAAGATGTGTTCGACTTTATCAAATGCCTTATTAAAGTCTAAGTTTAATAATGCCAGTTTTTTATATTTAGTCTACACAGAGATAGAGAGAAGTGTTGGGGGGGGGGAGAGAAGAGAGAAACTAAAGATATGAATTACAGAAATCAAAATAGTCACCCTTTGAAACAAAATGCATCAGAAATAAATACTACAGAGTGAGAAAGGTCTTAAAATGTGTAAGTTCAGGGAACACATAGAAAGGCACCATAAAGACCTCACTCAACATAAAAAGACAGGTATAACAAATTGTACAACTTTGTTCTAATGAATACTTAGATGTCCTAATTTTTAAAGACATTAATTGGACTAAAGCTAAAGAGATGACATTTAACCAAAGTGTATGCTTAAGAGGCCTTATGGTACAGTGGCTAGAATGCAGTACTGCAGGCTACTTCAGCTGCCTGCTGGCTGCCTACAATTTGGCAGTTTGAATCTCACCAGGCTCAAAGTTAACTCAGCCTTTCATCCAGTGGTGGGTTGCAGGCGGTACGCCCAGGTACGGGATCCTGTCCAGAGCACCGTGCACGGTTCCGGTACAGTGCTCTGGAGGGCCCACCCGCCCACCCCCACTCCTTACCTGTACTTTAAGCTTTTGGGGCTTCCATGTATGCACAGCACCTGCACGATGCTCCACCAAGCAGCTAGAGCATTGTGGAGGCTTGCAGAAGTGTTGCAGGCAAGTACGATGCATGTGCGGTCCATGCATGTGTGCCCGTGCGCTGCGTGCGTCCACGTGGGTGATGCCGGGGCCGTTCCAACCATACTGGTTGGAAGGGAATCCAGAACCCATCATTGCTTCCATCCCTCCAAGGTGGGTAAAATGAGGACCCAGATTGTTGGGGGCAATAAGCTGACTCTGTAAACTGCTTAGAGAGGGCTGTAAAGCAACGTGAAGTTGTATATAAGCCTAAGTGCTATTGCTATTGCTTAAACACATTCCCTTTGGAAGAATGGACTGTCAGATCATCTGCTAATTTATATTTTTGATCTGGGTTACAAATATGGTGAGCAGCCAGTAATTGTCTTGGCTTAAGAATTTACCTTCCACAGCTTTTGAACTACATGTTTGGCATCGTGTCCTCTGGTTCTATATTCCATCATGGATGAATGGAGGTCATGGAAAGCATGTGCCACCACATGGATGGCATTGTAGATACTATAGCTATGGCCAGTCATGTCCATTTCAAACACAGATGTAGGAAGAGCTCCCAGTTTCTCCTTCCCAGTGCAGGGAACCACATTTTCATCTTCATTCATAACAGAGATGGAGAAGGAACATTCAAAGGCACTTTCCCAGAAGAGCTTGATAAAAGTATCTTCTTTTTCCAAGGTAGGATTCCTTGTCTGAACAAATTGGTGGAATCCTAACACCTTCTTTGAGTGAATTGCAAAAGACAGAGCACCATGGAGGAACACTAAATCACTATTCCTCAGAAAGGGAAGTGACATGAAATCCATCTCAGCTGTCATAATCCAGATTTTACCTTGTCTCCATAATGGTGCATCTTCAATTTTCAAATTGGTGGAAAGAAGTCTCAGAACTATAATTCCATAAATTTCACCATGAACTAATACTACATTAACTGTGCTTTTCATAACCACCAGGTACATTTCAAGTCCTATTTCCACCAACTCAACAATGCTACTTGAATCGATTATTGGGAAAGTTTCAATAAAGTCTGAGCAGATCCCGCTCTGGGCCAACATGGGAACTACGCTTTGTAAAAACTTGTCCCCATTATCATTATTCACAGACAAGATCCCAATCCATGTCCATCTGAAATATAACAATAACTGAAAAATTCCTTTATATTGATGGTCCATAATTGGGAACATTTGTTGATGCAATGTAGACATTGTTTTTGTACTACTTTTGGTGGTGGAACCATAGACTAGCTTAAAAAACAAAAAAAGGAAAATATAGGCAGAGAGTCAACAGGATACTTCTTTCGTTTTCTTTTTTTTTTTTAAAGGTAGAGTGGAATGATATTATTTACCCATTTCAGCTATAGCATATTGAATTTCAACACATATTTCATAGTTGTGAACCTGTACTTCACAAATATGTTCAGAATGTGACATTTGGAAATTGTTATCACTCCCAAGACTGAGGGAGTGGCATTAACAAATTTGATCAAAGAAACACTGTTGCACAAAAAATCCACCTCTTTAAACCCTTCATCTTGGTCACTTATGAAGATGTTGGAGAGCAATGAGCTCAGGATAGAAGCTTGGGATACCCCACAGCATGCTTCCATCCATGTAGCTGTAGTTCCATTGAGGACAGTTCATCAATCAACTGCAAATTCATAGTAGTGGTATCCCACATTGTTCTGTCTTACCAAGAAGTAATATGTGATCAACTTTATCAAATGCTTTATTGAAGTCTAAGTCTAATGCTAATGATGACAGAGTCTTTTATATTTAGTCTTCAGAGAGAGGGAGAGGGAGGGAGGGAGGGAAAAAGAAAAAAAGAGAGAGAAAGACTAAATGTATGAATCAAAATAGTCATCATGGACTTACTTTGAAACAAAATGATGGATCTGAAATAAAAACCACAGGATAAGAAAGGTCTTAAAATGTCTAAGTTCAGGGAACACATTTAAAACTTAGATACTGTAAGACACAATAAAGAGCTCAATGAACATAAAAAGACAGGCATAACAAATTGTATGAGTATTATAGTAGTCAAACAATGCCTACAGCTTTTTACAACTTGGCTTTCCACTTTTATATTTTAACAGACATTTGAAGTATTTTTTACTATAGTACATTAGATGCTATTAATGCAAAATTCCCAATAAGAATAATTTAATTTCTTCATCAATTTCCCCTATTGTCATTATTTTCTATAACTTAGTTTTCCCCAATCACCCCACATTTCCTTTCCCCCGCTTCAGTACTATTAAGAGGAACTGAAAATCATGATTGGCCTTAAAATACATTTTCTATTTTAATACTTCTGAGAATTCTCTATAGTTTTAGTCAACATTTCTCTTAAACATTGTTTTAATGGAAAATTACTCCTTGGCAAGGTGATAGCACACACCAATTGATTATTTAGGTCTTTCAAATATAAAAGGTCAGAAGAGTGATGGCTGCAAGACTGGAGACAGAAGTAAGCCACAGAATTCCCTTGTAGTCATCAGAAGTCAATAATCTCTATTTCAAGCAGAACCCCTTCCTTCTTATGCCATAAATGTTCCCATAAAAAGAAAGGGATAGTGCATTGATGATTATCTACATGGCATGGGCTCTATCAAAGCTGATACCTGTGGCATCTTGTAGATGGACAGAATGGTAGCCATTTGTAGACAAACTTCAGTGGTAGGTCCCCCAATGACTGCTATTGGTCTGTGCTGCATATCACAAGTGTAGTTAGGAATGAACTGGCCCTTGGTAGAGAAAAGTTCCAGAGAAGCTCGATATGTCCAACTGGGCATGAAATAGGTATTATAGATCTGGAAACCAAGGGTGAGATTGGGCAAAATATGGGGATTTCTGTTGATCTCTGTGATGGCAAATTCTAAGGCCAAGATGTGCTGATAGATTGGAGTCATGACTCTGGAAAGGGAAATTGATGCTTTGTCACCATGCAATCAATTGAACAGAAAGCACACAAATACCATATTTTTCGGAGTATAAGATGCACTGGAGTATAAGACGTACCAAGAT